TCCCCTTTTTCCGCTGCCGCTCCCTTTCCCGTCACCATTTTCCCCTTTTGGCCAGCTGCCGACGACGCCGCTCTTCAATATTGGGTTTAATTTTTTCCAACCCCCTCATCGGCTTGAAAATTCAATTCATTTAGCTTTTGTTTTCCACTTGAGCTGAAGCACTTTCCATTGTTGCCTTTGTAAACACACTGCTCAGTGCATTTTTTTGTTCGTGTTTTGCTTTCTTTTCGTCTATTTTGTATTATTTTTAGTTTTTTAATTAATTTGAACTGATTTCGGTCTGAAGAGTTTTCCACGCAATGCGTTTACATTAATGGAACTCAAATTGAATTAAGGCTTTTGTGCACTTCCATTGACCCCAAAGACATTTTGCAGGAAAAAGAAGAGGGGAAGTCATGTGGAGAAGAGGGTTATTGGTTGATCAGGAAATTAATAAAGAAGCTAGAAATCACAGAAAGGGAAATTCTAGAGAAGGAAAGTTTGCACTTGAATGAAAAGCGAAGAAAAGAGTTGAATGAAAATTCAAGCTGAGGATTTAATTGAAATTTGATTCCTTTCGTTGACGGATAAGTGACAGCCTAAGAAAAATTATAACGCAAAAATGTAAGAAACCTCAAATGAATGAGTGTTGATTGAAAAGTTGAGTGAATGAGTACTTCACCGATGTCAATCACACAATTACTTTAAGTAAATGAAAACCCTTGAATGATTTCTTTTATTCCCTATTATGAAATAATGGCTTTTCATAATAGGGAATAAAATAAATCATTTCGTAAGGTCTACATTATAAAATTACATACATATGTCGACAAAACTGTATGAACTTGTTCCAATTTTTTTTTTATAAACAAAGTATATTTATTTGATCTACATCTAATCTCAAAGTCACCACCCAATTTATTGTCACAAATTAGTAGATTGAGCAGAGTCTCTCAAGTGATTTACCTTCGCTCAATGAAGTTAAGATGACATTAGTTTGCAAATCAGCCAAAAACTTGTATCTATATCGGCTGAAAACAACTTGATTCCGATCACTTTAGACCTTAATTTATTTAAATGCTTATCGGATCGTTCAAAATTAATTAAGTGGCACACTTTAATTTGCATGAAACCCAACTTGGCACATAAACAACTGAAAAACAACCAAGCTGGCAATCAAGTACAAGATCCATAATATCCATTTTCAAGACTTTTCAGACAATGGCCAAAATGCAAAAGTCTGTTATAAATTATTTATGACGTTTCCCAAATGTCAACAGCCAAATGCGTCGCCCACCAAATGACATTTGGCGGCAATTGAAATGCACGTGGCTTAGGAGAGAAAAATGGTTTTTAATTATAACAGTCGTTTTATTTTTATTTTTTGTTGACAAACTGAGGCAGGAAGGTGTTCAGCCTGGCTTAATCACAATTTAGTTACTGCAATTAATTTCGGTTTTATTTGATTGTTGTCTGCGAATGGGCTGTGAGTTTTCAGTGCAAATCAAGTTGACATGAATACCTGTTTAAAAAAAATGAAAAACAAAAAAGAGTTGACAATGGCAGACACAGAACGACAATGCAAAACGGAAGTTTAGTATATTGCTAAATAAACAAAGCAAAAAAGCAACTATGGAGCTTAAGTAAAAAGAGTTTTGAATACCCTTAAAAAATACCCTAGCTCTTTTGACTTTAAAAAGATAATACTGGATCCAAAGTGCTCCCTTTTGGAAACGAAAGTATTTTTGTTTAGTTTAGTTTATTTTCCAATTTATTACTTAATTTTTATGATACCAAGCAAATAACTTATGGAAAGTATATTCTTATTCAAAATAAACAAAAACCATTTCCTTTGAAACACAGAGAAAACTATCTAAGAACATTGTTCTTGAATTGAGCACATTGTTCTTGAATTGAGAACATTGTTCTTGAATTGAGAACATTCGTTCTTAAAAACCGTGTAAGTACATTTTGGTATCAATATACGAACGAAATGGTGAGAAGAGAAAAGTTAAATTGAGTTTATTTAACAACTTTTTGATAAGTATACACTTAGGACTGAACTAATAGTTTATTTGTACATACAATTTACTTAAATACCGCCAATTCAACTTGATTGGAGCAAAATAAAAACATTTTCAACTTAAAAATGTCGTTCTATTTTTAAGTACATTTTCAACTCAGATTTGAACGTCAGAATTTTCTCTGTGAATAAGTATTTATTAACAGGTAAAACATCACAATTAAAAATCAATTTCCAAGTCAATAGCTGCCATTAAAGGATATTTGACAAATATTTAATGAGTAAAAAAGAAGGGCAACAAACAAATAGTTTTCCAAAAAGAGTTTGAACGACAAAGAACCCCATAGAAGGGTATAAAATCAAACAAAAAACTCAAATGCAACGGAAGTTTGATAAAATATGTGTGTGAGCAATCAAGAACCATAAAGAACAAAAAAAAAATGTGGGCAGGGGAAGAGGAAATAGCAAAATACACTGTAATTAACTGGCGGTTCTACACAAAGAAGAAGGGTGGGGGAATGCATCATTTATTCCGCATGAATTTGCATTCACATTGGCCAGTTTCAATGCAAAACCAGGGTCAAAAACTGGACGAAAGCGATTCGAAATGCATTCAGAAATCCCGGAATGCAGTTCCACAATGCCCGATAATTAGGGGTTGCAACTTCGAGGATGCAACTCTCGCAGAGTGATAAATATTTTGCGCCTGGGATGACAGCCCATAAACATTGCGATTACGAGTATTGACAATGTTCAATCAGGACCGCACGGGGCATCCTTTGAGTGGCTCTACTGTACTGCTACAAGTCACTGTGCGTACAAGTGACAGCTGCCGATCCGCTGTAAGCCCTGATGATTACATTGTTTTTGACATGGACACAGACATAGACCACCCCTTCTTTCAGTCGTGATTGATGATTGATGACAGGGCCGCGATGTACGAGCTGTCATGTCCAGTTGTCAGCCATGCAACTGTGTGTTTTCCAACACTACTTCCGCCAGGAATCGGTAAACCCAGAGAAGGGATCTCCACAAAAAGGGGTTACAAATGCCTAAAGTCAAAAGCGGGGCGAGACTCAACAGCTTAGCTAAATTTACATACTTGTACAGCATAATGTGCACCCTTAGCATGGGTATTGGGTTTCGCTTTCCTTTGTGCATAATGCATTTTCACAGTGGGACACCCCGAAAAAAACGATTTGAATTTTTACCAAAGTGGGCGTTGTAATGTTGACACTGTAATTTACGCATTTCACCTTTTCTTCAAAGCATTTGCATATACATACATAGCTTAAATGCCAAAGGGCTTAACAAAGGTAATTCGATATGGGAAACATATTGTAGCCCAGAAGTACAGTTGTGTCTTGAGTAAATATGCAGCTTGCAGTCCCAGTGACACAATTAGATGTTGCATCTACCACTTCCCACGTCAATTCTCCACAATTTACCCATAACAAATTGCCACTCGAAGCTGCACACCCGCAATTCTCTTTGAACTTCGACTTGTCTTCATTAGCCAAAGAAGTCACTCAGCTGCCGTTACTGTTCTCTCAAGTGCCGATGCCAGATAAGGCCTACATTAATTTCCTTTGTCGGAGCCAATTTCTCAAAGTACCCGGCAATTATAATTACAACTTCTCGAACCACCCGCGGAAAGCAAGCATTAACAGACGGCAACAGCTGCCAGCCCACAACGCTCTGTTAAAGTTTCGCTTCTGACGGCCGCTTGCCCAAGCCTCTTTAGCTCAGTGGCAGAGCACTGGTCTTGTAAACCAGGGGTCGTGAGTTCAATCCTCACAGGAGGCAGCTGTAGCCTAAATTTTTTTATGATTTTAACATTTTTTTAACTTTAATTTTCAATTCAAATATTCTAACAAAACTAAATAAGTAAGTTTCTTAACGTTTCCTGAAATGTGGTTGAGTTTATGTATATAGGAGTTTAGCCTTGAATACAAATGCGAATAATTCCTGTTGACTATTAACTTGAAAATTAATTTTTTATATGCTTAACTATTTCTTGGAGTTCTATTAGTATCTATGGTATATTTTAAACTATTCTATTTTATGTTGTATCCACATTATTATTAAGAATTAATAATTGTTTGGTTTTTACACTGACTCTGAACCAATGTTAAAACCATTATGAGTGTAGTTCGAGTTTTCAATTCACTCCACAAATATTTCTTTATCCGAAACTAAATTTTAGCCTACTTAAAACTTTTTATAAGTGTGTGTATGCATTCCAATGTTATTTATTTTACAAAACGTACAACGCATAAATAGAAATTATATATTTTATCAAAAAAATTAGACATTAGCAATGGTATAAAATGAATCATGGTAAACTAAATAGATGAAAATACAAAATATTGTAGTGAGGTAAGTTAAGTTAGGTCATTTTTATTATTTTATTATTTATTTTATAATATTTTTCCCTGGATTTGGATTTTATATTGATTAAATCTGTACTAAAATTAAAAAACTTCAAAATCAAAAGATCCCGAGAAACAATTTGAAGACGCAGATTCCCATCTGCCTCCTGTGAGGATTGAACTCACGACCCCTGGTTTACAAGACCAGTGCTCTACCACTGAGCTAAAGAGGCGAACAGCGCGATGTTGCGAAAAGTCTTAGTTGCCCCTCACCAATTTTCGTGCGATTTATTTTTACCAAATTTAGCTCGTTTTTTAATTAATCCTAAATGATTTTCCGTGTTTGGTAAATATAACCTATTGATATGAGCATGTGGCGGCAACTTTGTTAGTAAACAAACGTACTCTTCTTTCCCATTTTCTCTCGCCGTTTTCTCTGTTTCTCTTTGGCAAACTCTCTTTGTCTAAAAATAAAGTCCCAAAAAAGCTGCCTTTATACCACACGTTGTCGTCGAATTTTCCCGATATACCCATTCAGTTCATCTGCAGTTTTCTTGCCGAGAGTACAGAAAAATTAGAAAAACTATTTAAACTTGCATAATTTAGAGGCGAAAAGTATAGATAAAATGAAAACTCCCCTTAGCCAGAAGACGGGCTTCTTCGCCGAATACTATCTGAAACTCAAGGATCAGGCGGGCACCAATTGCGAGTCGGATATCGCCAAGTTATCATCGTGCAAGAGCGATGAGGAGCGCGTGGCCTATGTGGAAAAGTTGCCCTGGGTGCAGGCGGGGGATGCCAACTTGGTGGTGAACCAGGAGTTTGCCGGCAAGAATGCTTCTCTGGCGGCCGAGATCAAGGAGCGGGCCACCGCCGCTTTTAAGGCCAAGAAGTGGCTGGAGGCCATGATGCTCTACACCAGGAGCTATGTGGCTTTGCCCAGTGAAAATGGTGAGTGTTTGTTACAATTATCATCTACGTTCTAATTAACGATTTTGGATTCTTCTTTAGTGGCCGAGATACGCATTGTTTTGGCCAATCGCTCAGCCACTTTGTATCACATGCAGAAATACCAGTAAGTTTTAAAAAAAAAAATATATTACTTTAAAGTTAATCCGTTTGTTGCTTTCCAGAGAGTGCCTGATCGACATCAGAAGAGCCTTAGATCTGGAGTATCCCAAGGATTTGGTCTATAAATTGTACGAAAGACAGGCACGTTGCTACATGGCCCTAAAGGACTATCCTCATACTATTGAATCATTCAAGTAAGACCCATCCTAAGACTACCAAAATGATCACCTAACCATGTCATTCGCCCCAAGAAAATGCATCACGACCATGGATGACTCCACCCTGACCTCTGACAAGCGGGCCAAGCTCAATCTGGATGCAATGACCATGATCAAGATGCTGCAACATGATCCACGCACGGCTAAGCAGGAGGCCAAGCAGCAAAAACAGAAGATAGCCCTCGATCAGGCCAAGCCAGTTAAGGCTGAGGATGAGTTCGTCAGTCCGCTGGTGAGGATCGATAGCAATCGACAGGAGGGTCGCTTCGCCAGAGCTTCAGCAGATGTGCGGGCAGGTGAAGAGTTATTGGTGGAGAGACCTTTTGTCGCTGTACTGCTGGAGAAGTATGCTAAGACCCACTGTGAGAACTGCTTTGTTAGGTAAAGTAATAGTAATTATAAAGATAGTGTTGTAAGTAACATCATTTCACCTTAAGGACTGTGGTTCCTGTGGCCTGTCCTCGTTGCGCCGATGTTCTCTACTGCTCGGAACAATGTCGTGAAGAGGCCTCTAAGAAGTATCACAAGTTCGAGTGTGGCATAGTGCCCATTATCTGGCGTTCGGGTGCCTCCATTAACAATCACATTGCATTGAGGATCCTGGCCAGTAAGCCGTTGGATTACTTCCTGAACTTAAGGGGCACCATTGATGAGGTGCTCACACCGGAACAGCTAGTCAGGTAGGTTTTCTGGTTACTTATCAAAACTATAGACAGCTAAACCTATAGTTTTACACATCAGCCTTCCCAAAGACGATTTCCGAAGAGTTGCCCAATTGGAGAGGCATCAGGGAGAACGACAGGCCTCTAACTTCTTTCAGCACGTCCTGATGGCCCGCTTTCTAACCCAGTGTCTTCGGGCAGGAGGTTACTTTGGATCGGAACCCAAGCCAGATGAGGTGTCAGTTATTTGCTCCCTGGTGCTGCGCAGTCTGCAGTTCATTCAATTCAACACCCACGAGGTGGCAGAGCTTCATAAGTACAGCTCCTCCGGCCGGGAGAAGTCCATCTTCATTGGCGGTGCCATCTATCCCACCTTGGCCCTGTTTAATCACTCCTGCGATCCTAGCGTGGTGAGATATTTCCGCGGCACAACCATCCATATAAACAGTGTCAGACCGATTGAAGCTGGACTACCGATAAACGAGAACTATGGACCTATGTACACCCAGGATGAGCGATCGGATCGCCAGGCGCGCTTGAAGGAGCTCTACTGGTTTGAGTGCAACTGCGATGCCTGTATTGATAATTGGCCCCGGTTCGACGATCTTCCAAGGGATGTGATACGTTTCCGTTGCGATGCCCCGAATAATTGTTCCGCGGTGATTGAAGTGCCACCCAGCTGCAATGACTTTATGGTCAAGTGTGTGACCTGTGGCGAGATAACCAACATCCTCAAAGGTTTAAAGGTCATGCAGGATACCGAGATGATGACACGCACAGCCAAGAGGCTGTACGAAACAGGGGAGTACTCGAAGGCCCTGTCAAAGTTCACTGATCTCATCAGGATCATGTATGAAGTGCTGGCTCCTCCTTTCCCCGATTTCTGCGAGACCCAGCAGCATCTCAAGGACTGCTTCCTCAACCTGGGCAATGTCTATACTTTGGATTAAAGTTAACGTAAAAAATCTAATGTTAAACAAATGTTTTTCAGCTTTTTAACGTTTATTGAATGTACACTGTTGATATTACAAAAATTTAATTAAACCTTGCAAAACGTCGCCTTTAAGTTGGTTTTTTCTTAATAATTTAATGCACAGGTGCAAAATCACTCCAGGAACAACGTTCCTTGTGAAGCTTTTGGCATCTGCTAACACATTCGTTAACATTGTAGCAGCAGCGATAACAGTAAGTCGTCATTTTTAAGCCTTTTTCTGCAAATTAAAAGATAGGTTATTAAATAAATTTACGCTAGTCATTTTTTCTCATTAATATTGTCCATTTCCTAGCCAAACTTACCGCTGTTATCCTGATCGCTTTTCAGATAACACTTTTCTGCTAACTTATCTGGAGTTTTTGTAATTTTTTTGGGTGTAAGTATTGAAATGAGGTCAAATGTTTTCGTTGTTGTAGTAGTTTCTTCTGTAGTGGATCCTTTTGTTGTATAGGATTCTTCTGTTGTAGTGGTTTCTTCTGTTGTAGTGGATCCTTCTGTTGTAGTGGTTTCTTCTGGTGTACTGAATCTTTCTGTTGTATAAGATTCTTCTGTTGTAGTGGATCCTTCTTTTGTAGTGGTTTCTTTTCTTGTAGCGTATGCTTCTGTTGTAGTGAACTCTCCTGTTGTAGTAAACTTATTCTGTTTTTCTTCTGTAGTGGATCCCAAATAGTCCAAAATGGAATTTAAGTGTGTCACCGAGGTTGTTTTGGGGGCAAGTGTTATGTCAACAACAGCACCCACTTCTGAATCCACAGCCAAATTTCCAGGGACCAGCAAGCCCAATAAAAATGGTAAAAATTTAACTAAGTACTGCATTTTAAGCAAACTGTGATAGCTTCAGCCGAATGAATTAAGTACTGAAACGAAAATGATCGCCAGTTGGGTTTTAGGCTTTAGATTTAGAGCTTTATTCATATCACCATCACACCCTACTCTCAAGTTTTCAGATTCTTTTCAAAGCTTAAACAAGAAGAAACAGTATACTACTCCACTAACAGATACCCGGTTCATGAAAGCATATTTATCTACTTACTGTGACGAGATTGTCCATGTTATTCTTCTCAGCCTTTATTTTTAAAATATTGTTCCGCAACCGATGCCTTCTACCTGTTACATACATATTCACAAGTACAGCATACCCTTTCACTCTTCGATTGAAGATATAGAGAGTTTCTCAAAACATTTCGGTGAAAATAAAGAGCGTCCGGCCAAAAATGATTTCTAAAATTCATCTGATATGTTCTTTAAATTACTGCTTCCGATAAAAGTTGCACAAATGTATGGAACATAAAAAGATGATAATTTGTTTTATGTCTGAATAAAATATGAATATTATGCTTTATAAATCAAGATACAAAGAGTAGGAAAAGGTGCTCTAACTCAAAACCAAATACTAATTTCTTTAAAAATGAAAATTAAAAGCTTTTAACAAAAATTAAAAAAAAACAAGGAAGAACGCTATAGTCGAGTACCTCGACTATCAGATACCCGTTACTCAGCTAAATGGAGATATGCAAGCAGCAAAGCGAGATTAAAATGCGCCACCTACCGGCGGTAGACAGATTTAAGCGTTATGGGCGTTAGAGTGGGCGTGGCAAATTTATTTTTGGATAAATCGATAGGTATTGACGACACCAATACATTTCAGTTAAAATTTTTTATGTAGCATGCAAATTGTGGGCGTCACAGGTTTTCGCGGTTTGTGGGCGTTTAAGTGGGCGTGGCAAACTTTTTTTTAGGTCAATCGATAGGTATTGATGAGAACAATACATTTCAGTTAAAATTTTTTAGCATCAAAACTGTTGGAGTTACAGTTTTGGGCGGTTTGTGGGCGTTAGAGTGGGCGTGGCAGTCTACTGAAACAAACTTGCGCTGCGTAGGAAGCTCAGGAATCTGTACGCCAAATCTCAATAGCCTAGCTCTCATAGTTTCCGAGATCTCAGCGTTCATCCGGACAGACAGACGGACAGACGGACAGACGGACAGACGGACATGGCTAGATCGACTCGGCTAGTGATCCTGATCAAGAATATATATACTTTATGGGGTCGGAAACGCTTCCTTCTGCCTGTTACATACTTTCCGACGAATCTAGTATACCCTTTTACTCTACGAGTAACGGGTATAAAAATTGTGATAATAACTTGTTTACGGCTCTATACTATAGTTCACCGAAATTGATGACACAACTGAAAAGGCGACGTACGTTATCAGTTGGGAATGCCATTCGGATTAGAATTATGTACTAAAATTCCCAGAGTCGGAAATATTCATCATATGAAATTCTAAGCTTTTATGCATATTTGGTCTAAGTTCTAACAAAATGGACGATTTAAAACCAACCAAATAGAAACACATATAAATTCTGTGACACCGAAGGATTTTTTCCTTAGTACCGTCTGAGATATCTGTGACACCCCAAATTATATATTTTATTTCACAAATTTACATTCTTATTTAATATAAGTTATATTAAGCTCATGCTTGGGAATATTTATTATAAAAAAGGTTATAATTATAATTAGTTAATTCTGGAATATGTCGGTGTTATCCATTAAGCATAATCATGCCACGAACACCTCCCCTGGTGAAGCCTGCTGCATTCGGCGACTTCGGTGTAGTTATGGTAACAACAGCGATAACAAATCGTCGTCGGCCGCCAGCCTGTATATTAAAAATCAAATAGATTAGACATATGATTCATGAATAATTCCCTGATTCTTTTTACGCTTACCATAGCAAATCTTTCTGTACTCCAGTTGATCTCTTAGATAACATTTTAATATCGGTTTGCTCCTGGTCCGTGGGCTCGTTGTAATGATAGTATAAATGGGACGGCTTGAAGTCGTGAGTCCTACAAAGGGAGGTCTGTAGGTCGGATATGTTGGTTCTCTTTTTGTGGTTGAAGATGTTGTGGGTTTCGTTGTTGAAGTCGTGCTAGGCTCTGTTGTTGAAGGTGTTGTTGTAGTTGTTGTAGTGGATCCTTCCGTTGTAGTGGTTTCTTCTGTTGTAGTGGATCCTTCTGTTGTAGTGGTTTCTTCTGTTGTAATGGATCCTTCTGATGTAGTAAACTCTTGTGTTGTAGTGAACTCTTCTTTTGTAGTGAATTCTTCTGTTGTAGCGGTTCCCAAGTAGTCCAAAATTTGATTTATGTTTGTCACCGGGGTTGTTTTGGGGGCAAGTGTTATGTCAACAACAGCCCCCACTTCTGAATCCACAGCCCAATTCCCAGGGACCAGCAAAGCCAATAAAAACGGTATAAATTTAACTAAGTACTGCATTTTTAGCAAACTGTGATAGCTTCAGCCGAAAATATTAAGTACTGAAACGAAAATGATCGCCAGTTGGGTTTATGCTTTAGCTTTAGAGCTTTATTTATATCACCCTCATACCCGGCTCTCAAGTTTTCAGAGCTTAATCAAGAAGGAACGCTATACCACTCGACTTTGAAGTTGTAGTGAACCTTGTGGTGGTGGATGTTGTGTTGGGTTCCGTTTTAGATGTTGTGGTGAACTTTGTAGCTGAAATTATTGGTTCCTCTGTTGTTGTTGCGGCGTATGATAACAAAATAGATTGAGGAGAACTAAAGTCAACAGGATCTCACGGATTAGTATGCTGCCGAAATTCAAGGTGAATCTGCTATGATAGCTGTTTCGGGGGCAAGTGAATCCTGAGCCCAAATTACAGCCACCAAAGAACAGAACAAAATAAAGAAAATTTGGAGTACGGAGCCCATTTTTAGAAAACTGTGTTGACTTCAGCAGAATATATCGTGAACGGAAATTTTAACCATAACTATCATAGCGACCCTATTCAAGTGTCAAAACATTTGAGTCAGAAAAGAATTCATCTGCTTTAACTATAGGCAGCTTGCAACGAGAACTTTCAAAACCGATCGAAAATTAATTAGATGGATAAAGAATTTACTTGCGTAAAATTATACTATATTGTTTTTATGCTTTATAAATCCAGTCACGGATATTTAAATAGAAACTTACTAATGAATTTAATTGGAAACGAATTAATATATTATTTAATATTTACAACATATACGTTACCAACAGCTATTGGCTAAGATAATTTTGGCGCCAAGTGGTGTTAAAACTGGCCACCACTGTTAAATACTAGCAAGGTTGATGTCTTAGCTAAGTGTTATAAATGTAAGAATTATTCTGGACCCAAACCACATTTTAACTTTACTCTAAAAAGAGCAACAAGTTTGAATTTCAGTTTTTGGTGAGTTTTTAAATTTGATTCGATCTTACTGAAGAAGTTCATTTTTATTTCAATTTTTCAATTAAAAGACATTTTTAATTCCCATTGTAGATCCAGGAGTCCGAGACGCTCCCGCTTATACATGCCGCCATATCCGAGACAGAAAGCCCTCACGCTCAGGATCTCTTAGATCCTTGGATAATAATGATAACGCTCTGATTTTACTTAAATACCAGTTTAAGATACAGGGAAACTTCTGTAGCTCTGTGGCTTTAATTATATTATAAAGGCGTCATATACAGTCTGTATTGACCATCGATCATAATTGTACCACGAACACCGCCCCTTGTGAAGTTTACTGCATCCGGCGATTCCGGTGTAATCATAATAGCAGCAGCGATAACAAACAGTCGTCTGCTGCCAGCCCCATCCTGAAAAACGAAAAGTATAAATATGATTCGTTTTCTTGAAGTGACACATCTCAAAAAATAATAGTAAATAAGCGATAGGATAGGACTTATGGTAATTTTTACACTTACCATAACAAGTCCTGCTGTACTCCTGTTGTTCTCTTAGATAACAATTATCTGCCGGCTTGCTCCAGCTCCAAGGCCTCCTTGAAGTCGTGGGTCTCACATATGGAGGTCTGTAGGTCGGAACAATCGCATCTTTCTGTGTTGTTGAAGATGTTGTTGGTACCGTTGTAGAGGTTGTGATTGGCTCTGTTGTTGAAGATGTTGTTATTTCCGTTGTTGTAGTGGACTCTGTAGTGGAAATTGTGGTGGGTTCTGTTGTTGAAGTTGTCGTTACTTCCGTTGTTGTAGTGAAATCTGTTGTAAAAGTTGTAGTGGGGTTTGTTGTTGTAGTTGTAGTGGACTCTGTGGTGGATGTTGTAGTGGGTTCCGTTGTTGAAGTTGTGGTGGTCTCTGCCGTGGAAGTTGTGGTGGCTTCCGTTGTGGAAGTTGTGGGTTCTGTTGTATAAACTGTGGTGATTTCTATTTTTGTAGTTGGCTCTGTTGTTATAGTTGGGATGGATTCTGTTGTTGGAATTGTTGTTTCCTCTGTTTTGGTGGTGGTTGTAGTTCCTTCTGTTGTAGTTGTTGTAGTGGGCGGCGGAAAATCTATTGGAACTTCTGGTATTGTGTCTTGAGCCCACGTTCCAGTCACCAGAAAAACAAAACAAATAACAGCGTACTTCATTTTTAGCGAGCTGTGTTGACGTGAGCTGATTGCATCCAAAATGAAACTGATCGTCAGTCCAGAGTAGCTTGAGCTTGGGCTATAGCTGTAGAGCTACAGTCATTAACACAATTATACCAACCCACACGCAAAAGGTGAGGGCTGATAACAGAACACTAGCACGCAGAAAGAGCAAATGCTTAGTAATTAACCGTAAATAAGATGCCGGCACTTAAAAAATATTTGGTTGAGTAAATATCAGTATTTTAAACAGTGGGTTCGGAAAGTGTATATCGCAAAAATATAAGAAAAATGTTTACGATTATATGCATGTGCAGTCAACTTGGACAATCAGTTCCAAAACAGGTAAAATAATTGTTCTCAAATAAGTTCTGGGAGCATATTTGTAGCATAATGTAGTAAAAATTTTTTTCGCAGTCCAAAAACACCCTGTGGAAATTGGGACTTCAAGAATTTATGTACGTTGAAAAAAAAGTTGTATTATTTATTTTCTTTAAATATTGTTCATCGATTTTATTATACTTTTTTCCAATTCACGTGTACTTTTAATTTTTCGAAGTCATATTGCAAACAACGCCCCTGGTGAAGCTTACTGCATTGGGTGAGATGGCAGTCGTAATAGTAGCAGCAGCGATAACAGCTGGTCGTCGAGGGGTATGCCCAGCCTGCAAATGGAAAAAGCAAGCAGATGAAATCTGTGTTGTTGAAGATGAAATGTGATTCACCCTGGGGTTCTTTCCCGCACTCATAATTCCCACTTCCCCATCTTACTTACGGGTATTGTACTCCAACTGGTTTCTTAAAAAACACCTCTCCAACGGTTGCATCAACCGAGAATTCTTTATAGCGGAAGTGGGTCGCACATGGGGAGGTTGGCCGGTCGTATATATTGGCTTTCTTTCGGTTGTTGTAGTTGTGGTAGGTTCTGTTGTGGTAGTTTTAGTGGATTCTGTTGTTGTAGTTGTAGTTGATTCTGTTATTGTAGTTGTGGATGCTTTTGTTGTGGATGTAGTAGGTTCAGTGGTTGAAGTTGCTAAAATTTCTGTTGTAGTTGTGCTGAACTCTGTTGTTGAAGTTGTGGGGGCTTCGGTTGTACTTGTTGTTGGCCTAAAATCTTCTGGAAACTCTGGCCTTACATCTTGTGCGCCAGTTGTACTTATTAGGAAACACAACAAAATCAAGAAGACTTCAACAATGGACCTCATTTTTAGAAAGCTGTGCTAACGTGAACCGATTACGTCGAATACTAAAACTGATCAGAAGCCCCGCTCTCAAGCAGTCTAGCTTCGCTAAAGCCGAGCTGAGGGCTGATAACAGCACACAATCAGGCAGAGTCCCAAAATACCCAAAGATGCTGGCCTGCAAAAATATTTGGTAGAGTAAGCCACTGTGAGCACAATTTTCAACAGTAAACTCCAAAATTGCTTATCAGCAATTAGGGCGAAAATGGATCGCTGAAATTACTTGCGGGTGGGTAAGCACGCATGCGCAGCTTACCTTGTAACACTTTGCTCGTTTTTATCATCACAATATGCAATATACCGGCACAAAGTAAATGATGTGAGCGAGTGTAATTGAAAAGGCAATAAATGACTCAGAATTCTGGGTCGCTGATTACAAATCTGAAATGAGATATGTCCAAAAGGGCAAGGGCAAGGTAATGGGGCGTATATATTTGTATATATTCGCTAATAATAATAGCGATGTTCCTAGAAAAAAAGTTACGCATGTTAAATTTGTATAATTTATTAACGCATTTCTACAGAGATCACATTTGCTTTTGGATTTGAAATGAATGCAATTATGAAACAAATGTGAAATACATCTTGAAATACTGAAGTGCAGGGGCTGTTGATATGTAGTTTCTTCTTCATCCATTATGTGTGCTAGGAGTTCACATGTGCGAAATAAGTATGATTGATTGAGTTGAGTGTGCGCTATTACGTTGCGTGCGTGTGCTTGGGGTTGTGATTCCCTAATCCGCCAAACACTGTTTAATATGTGTGCTTAAGCTACAAAGTGAAAGTTTTCAACATTGGACCAGGCCTGGTTCTGTCTTGAGTTGCAGTCATGGTATTCTGATAAGTGTGGTACAAGAGACCTGTCCAATGGAAAATTTTCATCGAGGCGTTTCTTTGGTTCATATTTTTCCATTCGCCCATCCTGGTACGACATCGTGCATCGATTCGCCTGGAAAACTATGCCTGAACGCCGAAGCAGTTTTACGTTTCGTAAGGTATCGGTATGGTAAGCAGTTATTTTCTTCTTCTCCAACATTACTTTATAATCGTACGATCCGTTTATAGAATATATTTGCATATGTTGCTCCAAAGTTTCGAGCTCTGGTCTCGTGTGTTAGCAGTGGGCGCAGCATTCTCCTGTGCTGCATATTGTGGGTTTTTAAACGTCTCGATAAACAATTCACTAGTTTTACAAATGGTCGATTAAAGCCAAGTCATCACACTATGTAACAACCACAATTCACGTCGCATTCACAGTCACGGTTCACTCACATTATCTATTCGCCATCGTGCTCGTGAATGTGATGTTGTGTGCACTGCAAATTTTGCATTCACTAGAATTTTGAGCTTGTTTCAAATCTGTGTTAGTTCTTCAAAAAGGAAAAGAGGTTCGCATATTTTATCTCTATCTCCCACGCTTATTTTGTCTTTTTGTGTGTTATGCTCATCCAGTTCTTTATCTACTGAAACGGAAAATTAAATTAGGATAATATTCCCGAAACATTCTATAACAGCGTACAAGCGTCGATTTGAAGATCCACAAATCATATTAGCAAAGCAAATATTATAGCTATAGTAGGTTTTCTGAAAAAGCATTTAAGCAACATCACTACCTTAAAATCGTTATCTGAAATTTTTAAATCGAATACCTTTACTTTTAAATTGTTTATCAAGCAACAAGTTTCGATTTTCCATTTCGATTTTATAAAAATTCAATAAAAATACAAGCAAGCGTAAGTAATCCATAAAATTAATCAACAATCTACTCGAGAGATGAACCCTCGTCAACTACTTGATCTATAAGGCAAAATAGCAGAGGTTTCTCAATGAGTTATTTACTTTACGGAGGCACCGGAAGAGGTTTTTAGTTGGAGGCGGTGATGGCAACCGGGGATGGTGAGGGTGTGGCCACGACCGGGGCTACCACTATGGCCGGTGGTGCGGTATTGTTCAGCTCTGCTTTGTCGGAGGAAGAGGATGAATTGGACACCTTCAGTACATTGGGAGTTCCGGCCAAACTGTGACGAGAGTTCCGTTTGCGCTGCGGACGAGAGGGAGTCTTGTTGGGCGAAGGCGTCTTGGTGGTGGAGTCCGGTACGGAGGACACACTCTGGGACTTGTCGCCTCCAGCTCCAAACTCGGCACTTGCGGATCGGGAGCTGGCCGGTCCTCCACTCTTGGCCGACTGGCCACCGCTGCGGCGATTGCGGCGACGATTGTTGGTCGACTTCACCACAGGCTTGATCGTGGTCTTGTTGGGATCGAAGTAGCTGTCCAGGAGCTCCAGCAGCTCCGCCTTGTCCTCGCCCTTCATCGTTCCAATCGACTGAAGTGCCATGTCCAGGCCCTCGGTGCGCTTGTCCGCCCAGATGGCGCTCAGGGTGTTCAGATCGAAGCCATTCTCGGCCAGCACAATGCGGAACTTGACGGCACGCACTCGATGATATAGGGTGGTCTTGAAATAGTTCAAGAACACCGGACGGAAGGAGTTCTGGCGCTCCAGATTCTCGTTCTGAGTGTCCAGTTCCTGGACATCGGATCCCACCAGCTTGGCAAACGGCTTGATGGCGTTGAACATGTTCTCCAGCGCTTCCGAAGATTCCGGCTCCGGTTTGCGGTCCGAGTTGCTCAGCTGTAGGGCCACGTTAAAGGCCATTTTGGCTCGAACACTGGCATTGCCATCGAACAGATCGCGCTCGACCTGAATGGAGTTCTTGGAGGATCGTTTTTCGTCTACGTTTTCATTTTCAATCACGGTGCTGTCGCTTGGGGATGATGAGGCCGAGCTCGATGTGGATGCGGGCTCTGCGGCGTCGTCCTCCTTGGTCTTGGATAGGATCTTGGAGAGCTTGCGCAGACTGTAGTGCTTGACGTTGGTGTCGCCTATGGAGGCCTTGGCCAGGTTGAGGCTGTTGGCAAAGGACTTCACCGTCTTGGTGAAGCGATCCAGCAGGCCGTACTTCTTTAGCGACTCCAGGATCATGTACGGAATGAACTTGCGCTCCTCGTGATAGAGCAGCACTATTCCGTCCGAGTCGGAGCCAGCCTTGATCTTCAGTTGCTCAAGCCAGTTGAGGAAGTCCTTGAGGGCAGCGATCTCCGACTTGGATTTGATGATCTAGGAGGAAATTATTGTTACACATTTATAATGTACACTTTACAGGCGAACTCAAATTTAGCTATAGCTACGGGACATAAAACTAAAGGTAAATATTTAAAGGGACTCCTTTAGTTTAAATAAACTTTCTAAAGGGATAAAGTTATTATGTGAAATGACATTTGTTTTGGTCAAGCCTCTTCCTTAAGAAATGGTAAAATAATGGAGTCATTGAAAATATATGTAATATAATTTAATGAACCAGATTGTTAATTAAAACTTTATTTCGAAAAAAACATGAATTAAATTATGGCATTATTCTAATATTAAAGCATGTTCTAAAAAAAAAATGAGATCAGGACATACATATGTCATAAATATTAAGTAGTAATAGTATTAATAGTAGTGTATTTAAATATTTGAAAAACTTTAAATAGGTCTAGACCTAGATTGAATAATACATGCTAGCAGATATTTGTATTTTCTAGGAAGAGTACAATAGTTATGGGTGTAGTAGGCATTGATAAAAAAAATTAAGAAAAAATTAGACAGTTACGGGTAAACAGTGAAGGTATAGCAGGCTTTGGGAAACATTTTGACAGTTCATATTAAATGTTTATAGGCATAGTAGGCTTTGAAAAAAAAGAACTCCTTTTTATGAAAAATGATTAAATTTGTGCGGGGTTCCAGGGTTTTTAAAGCAATACTTAATAAACTCACCTTGTAGGTCTGCATCGACTTCAGCATACGATAAAAGCCAATCGAAATAACACGAACTTGATGGCGCTGGCGCGCAGCTGGATTCAGATTCATATAGGGCATGATGTACTGCTCGAAGTGGTCGGTGGGTGTGTACGCGGCCAGCTGGACAATCTGAGGGTGTAACAGAAGTGGGGTTAGGTCCGAATGGAAATTCCCTAGGGGTAGGGGGGTACCCACCTCATCGATTAGACGACGTCCAGTGGTGTCTATGTCCACGCCCACCAGCACGTAGTTGCCGGCCGGAAGTTCATCCTTGACGCCCACAGGCGACGAGGATGTATCGACAGCGGCAATGGCCACTTCAGCATCGATATTATCGGCAACCATTTTTGAATATGATCTGGGGGAAGCAATCTAGAAAGATCGAAAAAAAAAATTAGAAAACGAACTCACTTAAATGTGTATTTTTTATAAAGGAAACTGTTCCTTTGTGAAACGCGAACCGCTTGTAAAAGATGTTGTCTACGAAGTGACGGGCACCGAATTTTCTAGGGTCTATTCAACCGAGAATGCAGAAAAGGAACGGTTTCCTTCCAGAAGCGCCATTTTCTTTGGATCCAAATTTACACCACACGCGCGTTTTCACCACATTCACTTTTAGCACTTTTCTTTTGCACTCACCTTTATTGAACTCCGTTTCGTGTTGTTTTCGATGGGCTCTTTCGCTTTTTACGAACTTTTTCCTTTATTTTTCAAAAGGGTAAAGCGAAATTTGCTTCCGTTCGACGAGCTTTCACAAATAAGAAACAAATCGTACGACTAACTAAAACGTAATGAAATATTTGTTGATGCACTGGACTAGCTCGAAAATTTGACAAATTTTTACAAATTCACAGCCTGCTAGATGGGTTCTTTGACTTAAGTACGATGGGTTAAGTAGCTGCAATATGTGGCATATTGCAATTAGGCCCACTGTGCGACAAGGAAATTTTGTTTATTTTTATTCTTGAGTTTTCTTGTATGCAAATTTGCTATTTTAGCGTATTTATGTTTGCTTTGTATAATTAACCGGCGAAACTCTTTGGCAACAACAAAAATTAAGCCAAAAGCGCATAGAGGAATTGATAAGAATTTTTTCAGAGTTGACACAGTTTCAAATGTTAGCGCTCTAAGCTATCGATATATATCGATTGTGACATCGATGGTTTGACAGCTGTTGTTGC